TTTATTTCTATCCAGACATTTGGCCAATTAGATGGTATCTGCCCATATAGGAAGAGGGAAAGCCTTCTTTAGTCCACTAAGTTCAATGTCATTGTCTTCTGGAAACACTCTTATAGACAACACCCAGCTATTTTAGCTCAGCCATATTGACACACCTAAAATTAGGGTGACTGAGTGACTCTAAGGGGCAAAATATTTGAATTTTCTAAAGTGCATTTTTTTTTTTTTTTACTGTATTGGGGATTGAGCCCCTAGTTTTAGCACTGAGCAACATTCTCAGCCCTCTCTCTGCCTACCTATCTCTATCCTGAGGCAGTGTGCCACTAAGTCACTAAATTACACAGGCTGGTCTTGAACTTGTATCTTCCTGCCCTAGTGTCTCAGAGGTCTGGGGTTATAGGCATGCCCAACCACAAGTGGCTAAATACACAGGTGATTTAAAATATTATCATCTACCTCCTGTGTGGCAAGAATTTCAGATTGCTTTAATTTCATTATGAGACACAGTGTGTCTTTAGTAGACACTGTCTAGGTGGAGGGAGAATTTGGAGGGGGGAGGGTAAAAAAAAATGAGGAGACCTGGCTCTCAGATACAGGTAGCTAACAATGTCGTGGGCAAGACAGTAGCAACTACATTAGGAATTTTTGATCTTATGGAACTTCTGTTACTTGAAGTCAATAGAGAAAATGGCTTTGTTATGTTTCAAATGTTTGGACACTATTTTTAGTGTATTTAGAGGTTCAAGAGTTCTCAAGGACTCAAAGTATTGCGTGGCCCACCATTGTTGGAAAAGAAAAAAAACTGTGCTTCAAGGTGGTATTATTTAAAAGTACTGCCCCCTTACCCCCCGCTTTGGAGTAGAACTGATCATAAATCCCAGATCTGCGATTTAGTGGCTGATGTGACATCAGGTAATTTAACTTCTGTACACCCCATTTTTTTTTTTTTAATAAAAGCAACATCTCATGTAGCTGATCTGTGAGTCAAACATACAAGTATATGCAACATCATTAATGCAGTGCCTGGTACATTACAGGTGATCAACAAAGGTAAGTTATTACCATTATTATCATGTTCTCTCTGCGGAGGCAGAGCGCATAGGGTAAGGACTCGGCAACACAGACAATAAAACTATGTCTTAGACCAACCAATAGCCTCTAAGAAAACCTAAAACACGTTTCCATGACTTCCAAGCCTTCTTGCATAGTCTCAGGTGGATGTTTTCCAGCTTATTTCCAGATTATTTCCAGCTGTAAGTGTAAACCCACGAATTTCTTGGAATTCAGCACTTGAGATCCAAAGCTAAACAACGGATCGGGCAAAGCCTTAGACAGAAGAGGCAGTTTTAGTGGTGAGGTCTGGTTTATACTTAAGTGATTACGAATGTCCTTTGACAGCTTGTAGTGGGAGTGGTTCTCTTGCAAAATTCCAAGGGAAACGTTCTCTGGACAGTCTTACTTGTCTGAGTGGGCCACCTCCTTCACAGTTTAATTTTAAAGGTTTCTGTCCCAAGTTTTATTTTCCCCAGATGTCTGATATCGAAACATGTATAGAGTTTTTCTTTTAGTAATGTCTTTTGTTTCCCAGGTGAAATAAAAATATCCTTGGTCAAGGACCTGTTGGTCAACTTCTGCTCCCTCCTCACTCTGTTGGACAGCTGCTACAAGCTTGACCCAACCCCTGAATCTGGACTGTCTTGTTTGGATCTCTACCTACTTTTCAGTTTTGTTTGTAGTAAATTTCTCTAGCACAGAATGGGCCAAGAGACTCTGTAGAACATTAATTTAACTTGATTCTTAATATTTCTTGCCCAGCACAATGCTATTAAAAAGAGGTGAAAAGTAAATGATTGTATTTGGTTTTTATGACTTGGCTTTTCTTCCCATCACCCAGGATGGTACTGTGTTTTCCAGTATCCTTTCAAGATTATAAACTGTGGGGGTGGACTGATTGTGTCAGACAAACCCAGACCTTCTGGAACAACTGCAAGAGGCAGCATAACCCTGTGGAATCTAAGAAGGAAAAACAATTCCTAAACAGTCTCAGAAACTGGTCATCAGTGGCCAATGATTTAAGATGTAGAAGATTAGCAAGTTTAAAAACAATCCCAACATGAAGAATAATCCAGTAAAATGTACACTCAACTTGGGTGAGAAAGGGGATTTTCTTTCTTTCTTTTTGTCTTTTTTGAGACAGGGTTTTGCTGCGCAGTTCAGATTGGTCTTGAATTGACTGTGCAGCCCAAATCGGCCTTGAACTGGAGACAGTACTCTTGCCTCAGCCTCTTGAGACCTGGGATTACAGGCATGTACCACTATGCCCGCCCATGAGAGATACAGTCATTTCAGTATCTTTCTAGACTCTTCAGGTCTCAAGAGTCCCTTGTAAATATTTTATTTGTTACAGGGCCTTGCTACACACAGCTCAGTTCAGACTCATAATGATCCTCCTGTCCCAGCACTGGGATTACAGGCGATTGCCACCAGGCCCAGCTTGGGGCCAGCATGGCAAGCGGTACCTGGGATTGAATTCGGGTCCTTGCACTTGCCAGGCAGGCTTTTAGACCGCTGAGTTATCTCCCCAGCCTGAAAGCTGCTCTTTAGACTAATCTTCTAAAATCAATCCATGGGGTTCTGAGCTGCTAAACTTTAGCCTGGGCAAACAACATCCTTTGTTTTCTCATTTTACAATTTAATTTCTTTGGCTGTTTTTTATGAGTTTAACAGTTCAGCATGTAGAGTAAAACTAGGGCACTAACACAAGTTTTTTGGGTTTTTTTTTCCCCCATGTCTACTAAGCACTTATTTTTAAGAACTGATTTTTTTTTTTTTTTTAAGTACAAGGTCTGCAGGGTCTTACTACATAGATTGGACTCGTAGTGATCTACCTGTTTTCAGCCTCCCAAGACCTGGGATTACAGGCTGACGCCACCACACCCATCTCAGCACACTCCAGGGGTGGGACCGGCATGGCTTGTGGGGGCTCGAACCCAGGGCCAGGGCTCTGCCTAGGCAGGCGCTTTAGCCTGCTGAGCTCTCAGGCTGGCCCTAAGAACTGATTCTGAGATGTATTCAAGGTAAAAGAAAAGAATTTCTGGGAAGCAGTCTCTAGGGAAAAAAATAAAAGGGGACCCAGAGGACGAAAGTGGGTGTTAAGATATTTTGCTTTGATCAAATTAAAAAGCAGAAGCTACTTCTGTGCTCTCTGGCGAGGGAAATAGATAAGCTCATGGGGAAGAAAACTCACCCAGACCATCACCAGGTTATCAGGAGTTCAGTCTCGGCACTTTCCAAGAATCTAATAACGAAAGGACGCAAGGTCACAGGATTTGGATACTGCCGCAAGGCTGGAGCAACCTCCCCTCAAAACAAACGAACAACCCCCAAAAACCCAAACCCAAAACATTACACCTAAACGTATTTCAGGGTTTGGGGCACGATGAATTACAATAAAAAATATGCTAAGAACACCTCGGTGGCAGTTAAATGACATTTCACATTGACAATAAAGTTTAGCTGTGTTTTACTTTCTTTTTTTTTCGCGGAACCGGTGATTGAACTCAGACCCTTGCGCTTGCCAGGCAAGCGCTTATTCTACTGAGCCATCTCCCTGGCCCCTTTCACTTTCCACTGTAAATAAACAACACAATTAAAAGAAGCACCCCAGATTGAAAAAAAAATTTTTTTTTTGTACCAAGGACCGAACTTAGGTCCTTGCACTTGGCAGCCAGGCGCTCAAGCCACTGAGCTATAAAGATCTCCAGTCCTCTCTTGATTAAGTTTAAAAATGAGCGATGAAAAGAGAGTAAAACAGGTCAAGAGGAGAAAGCAAAAAAGGGAGGGAGGCGGATCGCATTCTTAGCAACCCGGACCCAGCTTCTCCCGAGTCCAGGCAAACGCTCCCGCAGGTCCGCGCCCAGGCCCCGCCTCCGTGCAGCTTGGCTCCGCCCCGCTCGGGCAGGGCCGTCAGGAGCAAACGAGGCGGGACTTCCGGCGTTTGAAAAACTTCCGGCGGGAACCGGAAGGTGCGGTAACACCCACGGAATCCCGGGTCTCCGGGCGCGCCGGCGCTGAGGTGAGCTGTGCGTCCGCCTGGGCGCGTCCTGCGGGCGCGCGCGAGCCAGCGTCCGGGCTCTGGTGTTTTGGGGGCCGGGTCGGACGTTTGGGAAATAATACCCCTTTTAAAAGTGAAAAGTTTCATTACATTTTTCTGTCAGCTATCTGTAGCTCTCAATTTACAGCCGGAAAAATCCCTTCAGGCTGCCGCGTGTCACCTGGCGCGGCGTGTGTGCTTGCAGAAGCTCTTGCCGCGCGGGACGGATGTGGGAGAGCCGGGCGCGCCTGGGTCGCTTCTGTACCTGCGAGCATCCGAGGGCGGAGAGAGCGCCCTGCACGCCTGCGTGGGGGTCCTGTCTGCATCGGCTGCGTCCTCAGCGGGGCGTCCCGCGGGCGCCAGAGGAGAATGAATGGAAGCCCGGCGGCTCCCAGAGCCTCCCGGGACGGCCCGTGCCGGAGGCGTTGTGCGTGGCGCGGGAAGCGCGCGGGTTTCGGTGTCCGGGGCTCGGGCTTCTGTTCCTTTGCCAGGCATCTTTTCTTGTCATTTCACACCGCTGAGTCTCAAGCCTCTCGAAAAAGGATACAGCAGGGCTGTCTGTTCTCAGAGGCTCTTTGCAACTTTCGCATTTTGTTCTCTGACTTTTTGAGACAGGTTCTCCGTGTGCAGTTGAGGCTGGCCTTGCGCTTACCTTGTAGCCCAGGCTGGTCTCGAACTCACAGTGATCCTCCTGCCTCGGCCTCCCGAGTGCTTGGGTTACAGTCTTGTACTACTATGGTTGGCCGCATTTTGTTCTTATAACTTGAGAATCTGTGCTAACATTCAGTCCAAGGACTTGTGTTGCTCGGCTCAGGAACACTTCTTTAGGTGCCTCTTTAGAACTTGTTCTTGTCCACTTTTCTTGAAATTTTAGGTTCCCTCCCCATTTTAGTATGTGTGTGTGTGTGTGTGTGTGTGTGTGTGTGTCCTCATCCTCCACTTTCCTACTTACTTCCACTTGCCCTGTTTTAGTGCCTTCTCCCTGAGTAACATCACATTAGCCTCCAAACTATTGATTTGGAATATGCTCACGTACTAAGATATCTTGCAAGAGGGAAAAATCTGAAATCACTGAAGACTAGCCATGTTCTTATGTGCCACACCTTTTTAAGAGATCAGGGGGTGCTCTGTATGACATATAGTGTAATAGTGATGGAAAATAAATTTATATTCTGCAGAGAACATATTGACATGTACTCTTATGTTTAGTAATATTAGGGCAGCCATCGGTGCTCAGCTGTGTATAATATGGGAGTAAAGCAGATGTGTGCCCTTCATAGTGTCTCTGAATTAAGGGAGATTTGTACGCTAAACAAGTAAATTTTAGCTTATGTTACATACTACTGTGTAAAAGAAATAGAGTTCTTTAAAATACAGTATATGGCTGAGAAACTCATTTGAGGCCTAAAATGTTGACATTTAAGGAATGAGACCAACATTTGAAGAACAGGGAAGAGAGCTTCAGGTAGAAGAAACCTGAGGTGGGAAAGAATCCTGTTGGTTACAGGCACTCAGAAGAATTTAATTAGAGCTGAGGAGCTACAGCAAGTGATAAAATGTGGTTAGAAGGAGAAGCAGTGGCCAGTTCCATAGGGCACCTTATAAAGCCAAGCTTAGACAGTTTGCCTCTGAATAAAGAGGAGGTGGGAAGTCACTGATGTATTTATTTATTTATTTATTATTTTTTATTTTTCAAAAGTGCAAGTTTAATACTGCTCTGTCATCACCCTAAAGGCATAATCATTTCAGTTACACATCTGAACTGATTGGAATTATAGAATCATATCTCCTTTTACATTTAACAATATATGCAATATATAATATATACATTTACACAAACAGATGTTTGCTGGAGCACACAGTATGGTACACATCACAAAAATATACAGTTAATTGTTTCCCAGATGTGAAGCCATCTACAGCTATGGACATAGTTTCATTGTTATTATTATTAATATTATTGTTATTATTTTTACAGCTGGCTATAATGCAACTCCTGGATTATCATAGGCAGTTTAAATTTTTTTGGTCCTTTTATGATCTTTGCACATAAGACTGCCATAAAATTTTTTCCTAGGCCAGTAAACAGAGATGCTTAAATAATTAAAATACAATCACCAACACACATTTTCTCTTCTATAATAAAAATAGCGGTTTTAAGTTTTTTATACCTTTTATGTTATCATTTAAATGCAAAATAGTGCAATAAATAAAGCAAGCTGATCTGATTGAAACATGAGTGTAACTATGAGGGTCACACAATCATATTGCCTTAAGTAAGAACCAACCTAAAAGAAGCACAATAAAAGAAATCATACAGCTAAAACACGTCTTCAAACTCTCCAAAACTTTACATGAAGTAAATGGTCTTGCTTGCAACCTGAAAAAACTTCCCTCGCATGAGGTTTGAGATAGGTATTTACCCTCAAGCCTGTGCAGTTCTGTTAGATGTACATTATAAAGTTTGCTTTTTTTTTTTTTTTTTTTTTTTGACTTGTTTCGGTTTTTCCTATTTACCAGATACTAGTTCTTTTGCAATGTCCATGTTACTTAAACTGAAAACTAAATTGCCTCTCATTCTTTGAACAGGGCTCCATCTCCTGTTTTCAGTTGTTTCCAACTTTTTAAAGTACCATTTGCATCAATGTGATACAGTGAAGATGGTATAGATACTGTAGATAACTTACATATACATAGTAATTAAATAGTAGCAACTTAAACCCTGCACAAACTTTCTGGAAAATAATCTTTTTAAAACACTTACATGTACAAAAAATCTTATAGACTCAGCTTCTTTTATTTTTTTCCCAGGAGTTGTATTTTCTGTGGTTAATTTTAAAGGGATCACTGATGTTTTTAAAGCATTTTCTAAATGATCTTTGGGTTTGCTATGTAGAGAATGGTCTGTAGGGACAAGAGAGGAAGAAGGAGGAGTAGGTAAAGTGCTGTTGGCAGTAGTCCAGATGCGAGATGGGACTTCTGTAGTTTGAGTATGTCCCCCAAAAGGTCACAAGTTGGCAACTCAATTCCAAATTCATCTATTAATGGTATTTGTGACTAATAGACTGGCTAGGGAAGATGAGAGAAACAAGATGGCAGTGTTTTTGGATTAGAAAATGAAAATTTGGAGGATAATTATGTTCATCTTTTTTTTTAATTATTTATTTTTATTACATTTATTTATTGTGTGTGTGTGGCCAGCTCAGCCCACCAGGGGGCGGGGCTGGCTGGCATGTGGTGCTGGGGATCGAACCGTGGTCCCTGTGCTTTGCCAAGCTTGTTTCAAGTAGGTGCTTTAGACCACTGAGCCATCTCTCCAGCCCCACATCATCTTGACTGTATGTACATGTACCAGAACTTACCAGATTTGAACACTTTCAACATATGCATTGTATTGCATGTCATTTGTTAAAAATTTTCCCAAGGTTCTGGCTTAACAAATAAATGAAGAGTAGTACCATTTACTGAGGGGAAAGACTAGGGTAGGAATGGGAGTTCTATTACATATATGTCAAATTCTGCTTAACTTTGTAACAGCTAAATAGTTTCTGAGGGAGGCAGTTTATTATGTAAACCTGAATCTTAAAGGCAAGGTTTGGGATAGAGGGATTAAGATTGGTAATAGGGGGATAATACAGGTATAGTCATGATGTCTGTTGGTGGTGGATATGTACGATGGAAATTGGTCCCATAAGATTGTTGCCTAGTGATGTAATTGTCTTAAAATTTGTGTAAGTGCCCTGTAATGTTTGCACAATGGCATATCACCTAATGGCATATTTCTCATAATGTGACCATGATATTAAGCTATACATGACTTTATTTAAAACATAGAAATGTAAAAGATTTTTGCCTAATCTAACAGGTCTTATGATATGAAGTAAGAGAAGTGGAAATGTAGAAACCAGGTTCTAAGAACATAGATCTTTATTCATTCGTGCCTCTGTCACGGATAGTTTTTATGAATAACTTATAGCTGTCAAGTTGGTATATAGTCTTTTCTCAGATGAATCTGCCTAAAATTAACCTGTGTGTTCCTAGATGCCCTTTTACAATTATATTTTTTCTCACTTGTGAAAAGAAATATCTTACTCAATTTTCCCTGATACCTTGCCCCATGGTTAGCTTTTCCCTCTTTTAAACACATTTCTGTTAAGGTTGAAGTGTGCTGAAAATATTGGTCCGTGAGGGAATGTTTTGAATTAGGATACAGTAATTCTCCTACTTGGGGAAATAATTTCAATACTCCCAGTGGATACCCGGATGGTATCGAACCCTATATATGTACCTTGGTTTTCCTATACATACATACATACATACATACATATA